CACAAGTTGTGGAGTCCGTTACACGCTGGGGTATGTCGCCCAGAGGGTGTACTGCTTTCGCTCAGGGCTGATAGTTCTTGATTTTTTTGTTTGAAAAATGGGAAAAGTAACTGACTAGCACAATAGTGACTGCCTAAATATTTACTGAACGAGTTTATCAATGATGACTGTCATTTATACAAGAAAATTTTTTTAGCATACTGAGAATGATTTAAGTAACAATACAAAATACATAGCACTACCAAAATCCCCAAGTTTATTAGTCAGACTGACCAATAGAAATAAACTTTCCATCAAGATATGTCAAACAATCCATCCTTCAAGATATGAGTATTTCACACACTCATTCTAAAACACACCCTGAAGCCTTGTACTCCCAACTCCGCAAAAGGGTAGACAAACATTAACGCTTATCAATAGAAGATCCTTTCTACAGAATTGCCCTTGCAAATACTAAAGAATGGGAGTGAGGAAAAAAGAATCAAAACAATTTATTAAAAGCTTATAAAAATAAGTAAGAAAATCACTAGAATTAAATAGAATATATGGGCAAAGATCTGAACAATTAACATAAAAGGGTAATTTTAAATAGATAGTAAATAGGAAAAATACTCACTCTCACTAGCATTAAAAAATATTCATTAAACCAAAAAATGTAATTGTAGGCAATCTGATAAGTTATACTATCCAGTGCTGGTGCAGTACAGTGAGTGAAATGCTTGTCATCTTCAAGTGAACTTGGAAATGTGTTCAGTTTCCCAGAACACTACTTGGCAAAATGTCTCAGAAATCTTAGTTCACAATCTTTGACACAGTAATACTCAACTTCTAGGAACTATTTCTTAATGTCCACAACATATCTCCGCACAAAGATAATTCACTTTAACATTGTGTTTAACAAAGAAAATTTAGAGCCTTATAAATATCCAACAATAGAGGAAGTATTAATAAAATTCTTTCTAAATGATGTTTATGGGGAATTTTAATGACGGGGAAATTTTTGTGATGAAGATTATATGATTGTAGGACTTCAAGTTGCATCTATGTCAAAATATCAATTATGTAACATGTGCACGAGCCTAAGGAAACACACCAAAAAGCTAAGAGGACAGTAGTATTCCTTTGAGTCTTTGAGGCTTTGGGGTGCTTGTTTTCTCCTTTGTACCCTCAAGTATTCTCTGTAGTAAAAATGCATTAATTTAAAAATGAAAAAATAAACATTCTTTTAGATGATGACATTTCACATTTTAATAATCTCAACGGGGGTGACGTTTCCCCCACGGGACCCTATGCTGATTTAAAATGCTGAGAGCTCCCATCTAATGAACCACAGAGTTTGAAAGCAGAAGCAAACTCCGCCTCCTCCTTTCTCTCCTCCCGTCACCGCTTTCAGTCTGCTTTTCAGGGGCATCATCCGTCAGTCCGGCCCCACACTGCCCACTCCCCGGCTCCGACGCCCTCATTCTGAATCACATGCTTTTTTTTCACTCATCTGTTTCTTGGTGACTATCAAGATCCTTTCAAAGTCACTAAAGCATTCGCTGAGCACCTCCTCCAGGCCAGGCTCTGCGCTAGATTCTTGGAGAGGTTTACTTGGGGCCAGATGAGTCCTGACGGTAAAAGAGGAGCCTGCCTCTTCCTGGGCACTGCCTGGGGCTGGGCTAACAGAAGACAAGCCCTCTAGTGGGCACCGCTGGCAAGTCCGACACTGAGCCTCCTCCCACTGCCCCTTCCACCCCACATCTCCCCATTTCAAATGCCTCTTCCTCTGAGCAGGCCACACTCACCTTGTCACCAGGGTGATTCCTAAAGGGCCCCAACCTCCAGTCTCCAATGCTCCATTCCATACCCACACTTTACAGGAATCATCTTTCTAAAATGAAAATCTGATTATCTACTTAACCCTGCTTAAAACCCCTCCATGCCCATCACCCCCACCCTTGTCCCCCGCCACTGCTGCTCCTAAGAAAAATTCTAAACTCTTCAAGGTGGCTGTGTCACTGGCCCTTACTAACCTTACAGCCCCATTGGTCACCCCTCAGTTACTTATATTTTATGTAACTATTCCATGAATGCTGATGGAGCACTTTCCGTGTCAGGCACTATGCTGGGCGCAAGGGTTGGTCCTGAAGAAAGAAAGACACACCGTGGGCCCAGAAGTCAGTCTTCTCTATAGCTGCTTTCTGTCCCAGCCTCAGAGTGTGGCACCTGGATCCGCAGCATCACCGTCACCTGGGAGCAAAATCTCTGACCTTCCCCAGGCCTTCTGAATGGTAACAGTCATTCAGTTCTCTGGTGACTTCCCAGGCACGTCCAAGTAGGAGAAGCCCTGTTGTGTGTCTCTCGAGGCTTCAGGGCCCACTCTCGCGTGCGGCCTCCCCACACGCGTTCCGACCGCCTGGGGCACTCCCAGTCCTCTGTCTGCCTCACTCCCACCTGTCCTTCAGTTTCTGCGTGGACTTCCTGCCTGTTAGGAAGGCTTCCTTCCCTGACCTCCCAAGCTGGGGTTAAGTAAGTCCCCTGTGTGGCGTCACCGTCAAGACGCTATGGCTCTGACCTGTGGATGCTGGCCCTACCCCTGGAAATGCTGTAAGCGTAGAAGCCGCGCCTGTCTTTCCGAAATCACATCCCTGGAAGCAAGCCTAGCGTCTGACATAGTAAGTCAACAAAAAGCTGTTGAAAAAAAGCATAGAATTTGGTCCGACTGGTATAAAATTCCCAGGCTTAACAAATAATTTCAAGTTTCTAAATTCCTCAGGAGAGGGGGGGATTTGGAAGAGTTTGTGGCCAGAGCAGATTCCTGGGAAGAAACCAAAACTGTCTGCATCAGTTTATGCTTCACGTGTCATGTACAGGCTTTAGCCTCTGTGAAGCCCCTGGACCCCACAGACATCTCTGTGTAAATTAGAAAGAGAAGTTCCTTCCTCGGCACAGAGGACTCAGCAAGTCAGCCACAGCTGGTGTCTGGGTGCCCCCTAAGTAGGGTATCACCCACACCACCATGTGTGTTGGCCCTGCCTTGCCCCCAGTTGCATTGTCACAGTCTGGGAAGAGTGGCCGTGGACAAGTACTGGAAAGAAACCAGGTCCTGGCTCTGCGTGACCTCAGGTGAGGAATTAAGCTATTTAACTTCTTATACGGTGGAGCTAAATAAGATCAGCCATGCCTACTTCACAAGGCTTAGAGAATCAACATTTTAAAATAGAGTGGAGCCATACCTCCCACAGACTTTATTCCCTAAAGTCAAAGGGTAAGGTAAAAACTGCACATGACCACATTCCTCTTGAAAATGCCTTAACATCACGCATAAAGTGGAGCTCTGTGCCCAGGCTGGCACGAGTCTCTCAGTAAGCCCACCTCAGCCAATCTCCAGGGAGGGGAGGGATGCTGACTGTAGAATTCAGCTGAACTAACTGGCTCACAAGCAGAGGTAACGTCTACTGAAGTTCAGAGCTTCTGATGCCAGAATCACCTTCAGCGCAAGGAGACACAATGACACCTCCAGCCCTGGAGGCAGCTGAGGGAAGAGCGAATTCCCTTTTCCCATCTCATACCCACTCGGGGGCAATGGCAAGTGACATCACTAACTCAATTTAAATTATGTTTCCTTCTCTCTCCCTTTTGTGCCAAGCACATATAGTTGAATTCGAGCAAGATAAATGCATAGTCTAATGAAGCTTGAAACCTTTGAAGCAAAATAGAAATACAAAAATTATTTGGGTGACACACCTACCCAGTTAGTAATGTGTCCTGGGGAAATCCACACTGTTCAGTACACAAAGCTGCCAGCGTGGAAAACCTTTAACTCACTCCATCAACTGGACACGCGTGCGGAGAAAGAAGGCCACTGCAGGCGTGCTCCTGGTCAGAGCTGTCGCTCTGAGCCGTGTTCCCCATAGTGGAAGGACTGGTGTAGAACCTCTCACAGTCTTTCACCTCATTTATCTTACGCTGACTAGTGGGATAAGGTCGCCAGACCTACTGCTGAAATAGTGAGATGGAGCAAGCCAGCATCTCTCACATGAAACCTCCAGGACCACAAAGCCTCTTGGATTTGTGGATGCCCAGAGCTGATCCTCAGACCAGCATCTGCACAAACCACCAAGCAAACAGTCCTCTCATTTGCCTGCTCCAATACACCGACGGAAAACAAGCCCCAGCTCCTTCCAGACAAAAGCAGCGTGTGCCCTCGGCTTTCCAGAGCAAAACGCGTCACTTTGAAAACCACCAAAATAAACACTTATCCTACTGTGCCATCTGAGCTGCTCTGAAGGTGCTCTATTGAACCAATGACCTGCCATTCAATCCTACATATAAAGATCAGGATTCTTTACAAATAAAATAGCTGCCCCACGCCTCCGCAGTCCTGCTGCGACTGTGTGCCCCACTTTCCATACTTCTAATATAGCCACTCTCCATTCTCCTGAGACAGAAGCAAGGCTTCTACTTGTGCACGACAATGGACCTAAAACTTCTTTAACATACTTTGTGAAAGTAATAGTAGCCAAAACAAATACAAATTAGCAATGCACTGTGAATACCAATACTGCCTATAATGGAAAACTGAGGTCGCCAGGAGAGCGAAGTTTTATTCAGACTCTTAATTGGCCACCTACTGGGGTTACCCGCTGTGTTAAGTGCTATGGAAGATAGATACAAAGACGAACCCCACAGAGTTTCTGTCCCAGCTCTCCCCTTCCCCCAAGAAGGTCTAAGGCCTACAAGTGCCTTAGGCCAGCAGTTCACCAGAAGTACATCAACAGGAAAAACACTAGCTCGTGGCAGGAGAAAGACCAAGAAGTCTTGATTGGCTAGTGACAAATTCAATGAGGAGTGGTCTCACTCATCAATTCACACCATCTATCCCAACGCCCACAATGGCTTCACGCGATGACATTTAGCTGACAGGAGGGGAGAAAGCCCAAACAGCCAGAGGAACAGAAGGTACTTTACCATGCCCAGCACACTAAGACACGGTGCAGAGCGGTCTGGATACTCACTGTTCTTTTTGTACATCAGAATTTCAAAGGAATTCATCTCATAGTTCTCAAAGGTTTGCCGCACCTTTTCAATCGTATCTTTATCAGTCAGCTCCCCATACATAAAACTGCAAATCAACAAAAGAGCTCCAGTTAGATTAGCAAATATTTATTATTCTACCAGCATATGTTAAATATCTGTTCTACACCTAGCACTGTGCTATGTAGGACGAACACACACGCACATACACACGCACTGAAAACATCCCATCAAAAAGGATTTACTAATTCGATTGTGATCAAGGCTCCATCACTGTTCCCCAAAATAAACAGTCTACTAAGAAAGGCATACTGGAAAAGAGTAGATCAGAAAACAGTACAACCCACCCATGAGGAATCAGGGAGCACAGAACAGTCAGAGAGCACTGTCTGAGTGTCAGAGGAGGATTCCCGGCGGGAAAGACCAATGAGATCTAAGGAGCAAGTGGAAATTAGCAAGAAAAAGAACATTCTGGGCAAAAGATGAGCGTGCACAAAGGCACAGAGGTGAGAGTGAGGTTAATTCTGGAGCTGAATGTAGTTCAGTTCAGTCCAACTGGAATGGAAGCCATGAGGGAAGCTTTGCAACAGGTGACACAGAGAGGTAAGCACAGGCCAGGTCGTGGAGGAGAGCATGGCCATAGAAGCCAGATGAGTGCTTTAAACTTCATCCTGAAAGGACTCTTACGAAAGATGCAAAGGAAATTTAACCACAGGTTTTTCTTCTTCTAACTCCCAATAAAATAAAGTTTGGGGGGGGGGAATCACAAAAGTTCTCCAACCAAATAAGAAAAGAGGTGCAATCTGATGCCCTAAACATTAAGACAGAGCTAAAGAACCAGAAGATTCAGCCCCTAGCCTGTGCAGCTGTTTTCCTACCCTCTGCTCCCTCCCCAAAAGAAGGAGAAAGTGTTGGTTAAAAAAATTGAGATGATGAAATCCTACAAATTCTGACTCCCTCCTGCTCATGCTTGGAGAAAAGCAGACTAAGGGAATAAAGCAGCAGCATGGAGGAAATTAGAGAAAACTTCTAGAGAGTAGAAGCTCCTACCTACTAGTACTGGTTCTCGGCAGAGACAGAAAATCTGCCAGAACGAACCATCTTCCTGGGCCCCACTGCCTATGGTCTGAAGACCAGGGTTTATCCCTCTAGGAACAGGAGACACCCCCAATGGGGCAGAGTGAACCATGGCACCAGACACTAACAAAAATGAAAGAGAAGGAAAGCCATCTCTCAATGGGGATGGAAAGCCAGTCCTCTGACACCCCCCACCATGGGTCCAATGAGCATCTCTCCTGCCCACCGCAGGCCTTCAGGCAACATTAACAAAGGCAGTGACACCAAGCCCTCAAGTCCTAGGTAACGTAGAAGCCGTGGCATGGGTTCCTAAAGAATACATTCCCCATCCTTTAAAATTGTGCACACCAAATGCAAGCTAACTTACTCTCGATGACTGGAATCCCAGAATCAGAGAACTTCAGAGCTAAGAAGAACCTCAGAGGTTCTGGAGTGCAATTCCTCAACCACCAAGTCAAATGCGATGCTTAGTTTGATATGGAACAGCCTTGGGCTTACTGCAGGCTTCTGATTTCCAGCCTCCTGTAAGGACAGTGTCCTAGCTGTGGACCTTATGACTTCTGTGTCTCCTTTACTATTATGTCCCTTCCCAGCCCACTGAGAGCTGTTATTGCCTGTGGTTCCCCTACACTTATCTCCTGTAACATTCTACCTTTGGGTGCTTTTCTACTATAAACCAGGAAAGGCGATAACTGGGCTTGTTGAGTTACCTTTAAAAAAATAGATCAAGACTAAATTAGCTCTGCCCAGAAGATTTCTCCTAGGAGGTAAAAACTTAAGCTCTATGACCATTTTATTTAGTCGGTTGTTCGGATGCCTTTTTAGCTTCCTCCCACTTTCTCTGAGCTAATTTGCTAGATAAGTGACCTCCATTTAAGTAATGTGATGCTGGCCATAAATGGTGGCAATTTTCTTGATACGGTAAAACAAATGCCTGTAGAATGGAGTCTTCAAATAAAAAAAGGGGCCATCATGACACCCAGCTCTCGTCCTCTTATGTGCTTTCTTAAGCTGTGCTGTAAGGTTTCTTTTCCTGGGCACTGGATTTCAGATGCCTGCAGTGCAAGAATTAAGCAAAAGAGGCTCCTAAGCAATGATGACTATAGCTACACAAGGTAGGTTTACTTTACTTCTAGAGAAGGAACAGCTTCAGGGAATTAAATGAGCTTCTTAGAATTGTATGTAAAAAAAAAAAAAAGTTGGCTAAATGAACAAACATATCTGATTTTCTTAAAGTATCTGATTATAGCTAACAAGAAGCAAGAAAAGTAAGGAAAGGCTGTTCAGGTCCCACTAAAAGGCAAAGCTAACTCTCCCAATTTGTTCTGAATACATATGTGCATATATAGATATAGATCTAGACATAGACACTTAAGAGGGTAAAAGCATACCAGGAATGTAAGAGGATTCTATTACATTACTTAAAGAGTCATCACTTCCAAACCTTTGAACTTTGGGGGAGGGGATATCTGAAACTTCTTATTTCCCAGTCCCCAAAACCTAAAATTTAAGAAAATAATATTTTCAAAACATTTCATACTTTTCACCAAACTGGTTCTTTGGCTGACTTAATACCATGAAAACACACCTTCTGAAAACCTAAGACGATGCCTGGGTTATACAGCTTTCCCCACCCTTCGTAGATGAATTTATTGCTTGATTTGGAAGGACTGGGAAAATGGTTCCGCTTCATGCAAACACACTGAAGACAGAGGACTCAAAAGAAGGGGGGTAGTGAGAGGAGCCAAAGGCTATGCTGAGCCCAGGCCTGCCCGGGCACTGCAGGGAAACTCTAGGCAGGGGGCAGGCTCTGTGCTCCACTCAACACCTTGAAGATGCTTTAAAAGAGCTGTTCTAACACCACTGCCCAAGGGTGCTGCTTGGTTACTGAGCCTGTCAAATACACAAGCTACACTGTTAGCACCATTTGCCTCTGCCTTTGAGTTAGGGATCAGAGAGAGATGCAACAAGAATTAGAAGGCAGCAAAATATTGGTTCCCTTCTCTTTTTTTTTTTTTGATGAAAAGCTCTATAAACAAGGCCCTTGTTTCCAACAGTGTATTTATTCTCTAAAATAGCCATAAATCCTAAAAATTAATCACCTAAAATTTTATTTAATTTTATTTACTCTTCTAACTTTCACATTCCATTTTATCTAAAAACTCATAAACTTCTGAGTTCACATTTTATAGAGAAAATTATTTTTCTGACTTTTTCTAGGTTTTCTGCCCATCTCACTGACTGGGGGAGTTCAGCAGTTTTAAGTCTGTGGGAACCATGTTTTAGGCCTTTGATCTTCCCAGTGCAGTGCGTGACGTGGAGATGATATCACCATAAATATTCCTGAGTAAACGCTGAATGAGAGCAAGGCGGTTCCCACACTGAGTAAGCCATTTTCTTTTTCTGAAAGACACCAGGATAGACGGTCCAAGAGAAGAGCCCTGATTATAAATACCTGCAGGTACTGCTTTTCTGCATCACTTCTGCCCTGTGATAGCCGGACAGCTTGCAAAATCCATCATTGCTGTACACGATAGGCCAGTCCACTATCTGGGCATTCCCCAACACAAAATTAGTATCTGTTTTAAAAAAAAAAAAAAAAAGAAGGGGCATATGAAGTAAAACATTAGTTGAGATTCAGTGAAGACATAAATAATGTCATCTATGCCAGGTAATTTTGCTTCCCTCCATAACAGTCTCTTGAACAGGGAAGAAGCCCTTCGAGGAATCCGAAAGAACTGTAATTCAGAGCAAATAATCTGAATACAAATGATAAGGTTACTATACCCCAAGAAGAAGTATACAAAGAAAACATGCTTAACCAACCAACCAACCAACAAATCCTGTAGAAATTCAGCGATTCCCATGGGACATTTTCCAGTCTGAATTTTCATCTCAGTGACAGTATTCTAGTAATATGAAACAAGAGAGATCCCAAGGTAATTTATTCTGTGCTCCATCTGGCATCTGAGGCTTGTCAGTCTTTTGGTCAGAAGCTACAAATTGGCCTTGGTGACCCTGATTGACATTTGCTCATCCCAGGAGGAGAAGGCCTTCTTAGAGGGTCAGAGGAAGGGAACAGAGGACTTGCCTCTTGGAACATACACACCACAGACAGCCCTCCTCTCGGTGAGGAAGAGACTAGCCCCTGCTAATACAAGAGCTTTGGTGGAGATGCTCGCAATGGCGAGACCTCCTTGCTGAGTCCGAGATTTTGTAGCCACAGAAGCTGCATTCCAGAGCTCTTTCACCGAGCACCAGCCCACCACTCACTTCTGCTGCAGGGATTAAGAAAGCCAGATATATCCAGCTGCTTGGTGTGTTCTCATCACTTCCCACATACTTTTCTAAATCTTCACCCCAGGATATGTTTATTGATTTTAGAGAGAGAGAACGAGCGGGAGGGATGGAGGGCAGGAGGGAGACTGTGGGAGAGAGAGACACGTCGATGTGAGAGAGCAACATGGATCGATTGGTTGGCTCTGGTTCGAGCCCCAACTGGTATGTGCCCTGACTGGGAATCCTGTCACTTGAACACTTAGAGGCCACTGTAGGGTTATTAATTGGGCTAATTTCAATATTACTATGTCTCAGGGAATGTGGAGGCCTGCAGAGAGGGAGAGAGACAGGGAATGGGCAGTCTCGGAGCAGTCAGGACACATGCAACATACATTGATCAATTTTGCCATACTATATGGGTGCTTTTCATAGCACCCCAAAACAATTATAATAGCAACATCAAAGATCCAAACATAACAATAATGAAAAATTTTAAATATTGCAAGAATTGCCAAAATGTCACACAGAGACACAAAGTGAGCAAATGCTGTTGAAGAAAAAGGGCACCATAGACTTGCTTAATACAGGGTTGCCACAAACCTTCCATTTGGAGGGGGGGAAAAATGCAATATCTGCAAAGCTCAATAAAGTGAAGTGCAATAAAATGAGGTGATCCTGTAGTTTTCTGAGTACCCACTAGGTAACAAGCATAATGCAAGACCCTGGCAATATCTACCTTGCAAAGACGTGGTGCGTACACTCCACGAACTTATTAGAGCAAAGAGACATGTGCACAGCTAAATAAAGAGGTGAGAAAATGATTAATTCTGTTTAAGGGAAGTAAAGGACTGTGATTTAGGGGAGCACACCTGAGCTTGCTCTAGTCTGGAAGGCTGAGTAAGATTCACTTAAATGTTCCAATGCCTAATATATAACTGCTAGAGATGATGCAAAAACAATATTCATAAACATGAACGTATGATGCCTGCCTTTGGTGAACTCAAAAGGTTGTGGAAGGAAGAAAACATTCTATACAGAGGACTCAGCACAAACAAAGGTCTGGCAGCAAAGTTTAAAACTTGGATGGCAGGAAAAGAAATTAGAGGCATAAAAAAAACACACCACAAAACTGTGCAAGAAAGGAAACCAAAATACACTATATCCCATCATTGTTATAACTGTAAACATCTTATTCATTTCCAATTTTTAAAATCAGCATAGTCAAGCATGGACTATTTAATTATTAAGTATCTAACTATAACATCATCAATCCTGACCCTGTAAAAATACAAACGATAAGCTTGGAGAAATAAAACAATCCTGAGATGGTGTCTCGAGCTGCTATAACAAAAAAGAAAGGTAATAGTATTTTACTTAAAATTGCAAAAATAACCAATAAGGGAGCAATATAATCTTAGGAGGTAGAAAGTAAATAAAGTGAGCTGAAACCTCAGCCAAATTAACAGAAGTCATGAGATATCTAAAGTTAATAAATGGAGAAATAGTTGTGATGCATGTTATTTAGAGACATGGGAGAAATTATAAGAAGAAACAGCTGACATTAGACCATGTGGTCTTTGGTGAGCAGAATGGGCAAAGGGACATGGTATAGGATGGTTGTTTTTCTTTATAAACCCTTCCATTTGATTTTTTTTTTAACCATGAGCATATATTACTTTGATAAAAATAAGTATATTCTTAATTTTTAATGAATTTAAACAGAAAAGATTAAGTTATTGATTTACTAAATGGTGACACCAGGATATATTTCAAGCTCCAGATATCACTGCAATTTCTCATAAAAGTATTCTGGGTCAACCTTTAAAGGTAGTCATCATGTCTCAGGCATTCCCACTGTCCCTGGGGAGCATATTCACCTACAGCCTTGTTGGGGGGAAACCAAGTAAGTCCACTAGCATCTTCTTTGACTTTAGAAAGGAAACAGACAGGAAGTGCCGTAAGAAGAGAATCATCACTCAGAGGATTTCCCATTGTAGAATTTACAATTCCAAAACAGTTTCTCTACTGCTAACCCAAGCAAGACATGAGAGCCTGCAGGAAGCAAGATTCCCACCTCCCGGCAGAAGGTCCAGGCATCCCTTCTTATCCAGGGACAGGGGCCAATGGAGGAGAGAATTCTAGTCCCAGACAGAAAGCCATCTGCCTCCAGCAGGAAAGCGAGTCTTACTCTCTCTCCTGCCCTGGGACGCACATGTGACCCCGCTCTGCTTGGCTGGAAAAGGGGCATATTCTCGATTATCTTCAAGTTATGAACTACAAATAATTGACGTGAAAATTAACTTCCAGAACACAATCTGTTGCAAGACCAGAACTACTCATACAAATACCATAACGTCCCATAGCTCATCAGGAACTAAGGGGTCCACATAAGCTATTTTCCAAGTATTACTGAGAGTGGGTAGCATCTGTCGATATTTTACTTTGTTCCAGGCTCCATACTAAGTATTTTATTATATATTAAGATTTTTTAAATCTTTACAACAATCTTTATGAGGCGGTATTACTTCACTGAATGAGGTGTCATGGATTTCATTTTGCTCATGGAGAAACTGAGTTTCTGAGGACATAGTCATAACAAATTACAGTTGGGATTGAACCGGGGTCTATCCGGCTTCAACATCCATGCTTTTAATCATTATATTACATAGTCTCCTTCTTATTCCATTTCAAATACTCAAATCAGACCATTTCTATGAAAATCTTTGTAACACCTAATATTTATGAGCCTTCCTATAAAAATATACTAAGTATAATAAGATTTTTTAATTGCTGAGTCAACATTACCAGTATTGTCAGTGTATATTATGATTTACCTTGTGATATGCAATGATGCCCTCAGGAAATACTGACATTGGTAGAAGTAATGGATCCTCCTATAAATGCCTGGGCTCTCCTGTCAGTCTTTGCAATGTTTTGTCTCTTCCCTCACTTACAAACCATGGCCTCTTACTTCTTAAAATGTAGTGTGCTGACGTATTTCTATAACAGTCTTGCTTCCACACAGTGACTGGAGCAGAGGGGGGACAGAGGAGAGGCAGAGAAAAGGGGAGAATTTGTGCCTGGATTCCCATTTGACACTCAGGGGTAGGAGAGAACACCACATTAGTGACTCAAAAGTGTTGCACAGCAAACCTGGCTGTGTTAGCACTACTGAGCCTCCCTCCACTCCCATAGGGCCTGCAAAGAATCCAGAAGTTCCCAACTGCCCCGCTGCTGCTGCTGCTGAAGTTGCATGAACAGATGGTTATCACAGTGGAGTAAGGTGACCAAAGGCCATGTTTTATGAGACTGCCAAGCCAAAGATCAACTTGAGGGTTCAGGCAAATATCAGAAGTAAGCTTCAGGGTGAGTGAGAACGAGAGAGACAGAGAGAGAATGTGTAGATGTATAGGTTTGGGACAGGGCACCAAGTTCTTTTCAATCCAAAGAATGGAACATAGGTTCACCAGCTGCAAACTTGAGCCCCACAGATCAGTTGGTCACCCAGTGACCAGCACACCAGGGCTATTGCCAGAGACCCAAGAAACTAGAAGGAGAATATAAGACTCTGCATCTGGGGATCTAAGGCCCCAGAGGCCATGCCAAGTGCTTGCCTCCACCCCACATACCATCTTGGAGAGAAACGATGCGATGGGTAGAACTGGCATCTGAACCCAAGAGAAACCCACAAAGATTACTTAAACTGGAAGAGCCTGAGATACCATTAACTGGGAAGTTCAGAGTCCCCCATAACTAGTCTCCCCTTGCTTTTCAGTGAGGTGGGAGCTTGGAAGGGAGAGAAGATCCATTAAATAAAATAAAGAAGTGAACCTAGGTGGGTCTGAGTCAATTTGCCACAAAGCCTCCAGAAGTATGTCTGCCATAAGACGAGAAAGGCTTCAGAAAGCAGGAAATCTTTTAAAAAGTGCCTAAATTGTGGCACAAAGACTCCATGACAGCAACTTTGCTGAGTCAAGGTTTCTTAATTCCTCCAGGCGGCTGGCAAGGTTCCCGCTGGTTCGGAATGCCAAGTAAGAGGGCTCTAGTGAGGGGAAGCTAACTTCCCAGCCAAACGGAGCAGCGTGCGTTCCACATCCAAACCCAGGCTGCTCTGGGATCAGTCACTGTTTCCAAATTCAGTGAATGAAAACTTACTTTGAAGCCAAGCAAAGCTTAATTAAGAAAGTAACCCGCTGCATGAACAAAACATCAAAAAACATAATCTCCCAAGTTTGCATCAATACTGGCCTGGTCTGCATAGATGATATTAGAGAGTCTAAAGAGAATTGTTAGGACATCT